TTCTCCTATGTCGCGCCGACGAACATACTGGCATGGTTAATTGCTCCATTCCGCTATTTCATGTCTTTCAGACAGTTCGTTCGGCTCAATCGCACAATCATCAAAGTCACCCACCTGCCGATCTTGTTTTCCATTTGCTTCTATGAGAAGACAATACTCAGCTTTCAAGTCATCGACTCTATCGACCTCATTGATTCTTCTGCTCGTACCGATAGTGCAGACTGCTTTCGGCCTCGTCGTAACCGTTTCAGAGCTTTTACCTCTCAAGGAAATCGACTGGTACGAGAGCCCTCAGTGGCGACTTACCAGAAAGATCGGGCGCTGGAAGCTGTCTTCCGACAACCTTATCAGGATGAACCAAGCAGAGGACTAAGGAAGCTTCATCCTCGAGAAAACGACCTGGCTGTCAATCATTGGATGCAGACCATGGGTTCGGGACCCATTCATCCTCCTGATGAGCAAGACTCGGATGAAGTGAGCCGTTTGGAAAGATTGCCGAGGACTAGATCAGGTTATCAACGGCGAATGACACGAAGTCTGCGTGATTTTACAGAGTCAAACCGGTCAGCTGCCTCTAATCCTGAGGATTCTGCACACCCTGTGGCATCATCACCAGCTACGCCTCGTCCTGGGAGAGACTTTCTAGTCCCTGCGAGAACCAGACAGCTTTCTCGGCAAACAGGAATGGAGGGGGATGATGAGCTAACTAGCGACGACAATGGCGAGTGGACTGGGGAGCAGAGAGAACATCGATCGCCGTCGAAGAACTCCGAGGAGAACACCCTCATGAACGCAAATGAAAGCTCTCACACCACGCAACCAAAGTTTTTCAGCTCCCGACCCTCAACGGCTCGACTCAAGTCTCGCAAGAACAGTCCCACTCGACGTATCAAATATCATAAACGGAATTACTCGGGTGCCACTATGCTCTATAATCCGATCCCTCGGAGAAGTGAACATGAGGAAACAGATACTTCCCTAAACCCTGTCAGACCGAGGGCTCACACTCCAGACCGTGCAAGCAGTATAATCGGGCCGCCATCCAGAGGACCTTGGGCTCTACGACGACACAGTACGGACGGAGGGAGGTCCCGAACCACCACATTGCATAGATCCGACCCCATGTCTGTTCCTGAAATGAACGGCTTCTCAGCACCCGATTCTCATTTCAGAGGACGCCATCGGTCCTCGATACTCGACGGTCTGGGCTCTGACCTGGGTGATAACAAAGCAATCACGAACGGCTTCCTTGGAGGGGCTCCATCAAGTATGACCACTCAAATGGCCTACGCAACAGGCAACATCAGACGCCCGGACAGTCCAAACAGCAACCAGGATATGCTCAGTAAACTTGTCTTGGCGCGGATGAATAACATTGAAGAAGGTTTCCGCGAGGTGATCAAGGAAGTCAAGGACCTCCGGCGCGGGGGTGCGAGTCGCAGTCAAAGTCGACCTGATGAGCAAGCCATCACTCAGCGCGAGAAGAAAAAGAGACGGGCAGGTGACAAGAAGGAGACTAAGAAGAAAGGTCCGGGGTCCCGCAAAAGCAAGGCTAGCAGCGAAGGCCAATACTCAGACGAGTCAGCCACTCAGTTGCGCGAGGAGAAGACCCTACAGGATGAGTAACGGTTTGATTATGCTGATGCATGCGATGATTATGACACGTTTAATGTTTTGTATTAGTATTTGGTTGGCTGTCTCATCAATTTGTTGTTGTGCTACATAGCTTTCTTCTATTTGATACCCTTTCCAACTCCTGAAAGGCGATTTGACATATTGCTACCAGTCTTCGTATCGTCTTATATTTAAAGAGCTTATAAACCGCTTCCTTGATAGCTCAGCCTTGCAGCTATTTCTAGGACGAGCTTCTCTTACCGGGTCTGAGGTTGAGACCGCCAATCTAAAAAACCTATACACAGGCAAGGGTTGCTTAACCGTGCGGCCTGATTAGTCCGGAAATGATTCCGCAAATATGTATGTGATGATAAGGTAATTAATCGCATTTTTACATAGACTATAGCTGGGACAACCCAAAGCTAGGCTTAATCCTTTTGTCTGCAGCATAAAGTGGATGGCCTGCCCTGAAGGATATTTATCACTGTATCCTGACAAATATATTTTGTAGCACTTTGATTTTACAAAAAACTCCCCATAGCACCCAATGAAGAGGTTATAAGAGGTAAGTCAGACATCTTTCAGTTTGTCTATTTTGCTTGCTGTGCTACTGCTACTTCGTAATGCAAGGGTTGTGCCAGCGAACAGTCGAGACTGATTCACTTGTTTACAGTTGGCGGAGACTATAACCGAGAAAGAGATACCCCCAAGATTTAGTCACTCGCACCTTATTCACTTGTACTGTCCCGTCATCGATGAGCTCTACGCCACAGGGCTAGCCATTCACCTGTAGGCAGCAAGTAAGGCTGGGCTGAGGCTGTGACGGGGCAGGTCTCTCTCTTTCCGCCTTTCATAACACAACACATCTGCTGTATACATTCATCTTTGTCTTCTCAATCCTCTTCTTGCTTCTCTTCTACTATATTTATTCTCTCTCTTCTCCTTTCCTCAAGTCAACTATCTCCCTTTCAATCTTCTTCTTCGTCAGCTTTCTACTCCACTGTTTGATTCTTATCAATCAGCCTCGGTTCTGAGAAGCCTCTACTTGTCTCTACTTGGTTTCAATATTTCCTGGATCGTCTCCAGAACCCATCAACCGACTCACCCTTCTCACGCCACAAGACCACTTTTTATCCAGATATCACGATGAGTTTCAGCCACGGCCCTGACTTGATCCTCATGGACAGTGCCGACACCCTCGTTTACATCGACGACACAGAATCACACGGCCGGTCAAGCTATTCCTTGCAACCACAGCGCGCAGTTACAATTCCCCACAGAGTCCATAGTCATAGACTGCTGTCCACGGGCTCTGCCTACTTTCGCAAACTATTTGAGCCTAGAGCTCAGTCTCGAGTTCTGAAGCGTCGCAAGCTAGATGGGACGTTGCCTGACGGTGTGAAGTTTGTCATTGACCTCACGCCGCCCACCACAGATGATGAAGGGGTGAGGTTTACTGCAGAGCTTTCGTGTCCGCTGGGGTTACGAAAATGGGCTCTTGCACGAGATCGATGGACCCTCCCATCTCACCTTGTTAGTGGCATAGACGATGGACTTGAACACCCCAGTAGCAGTGACGAGCCCGGCATACCTGTTGAGTATTCAGAGGCTCGCAACCGCCGAGGGATCGCTCATGTCCTCCAAGCCTTAGAAGGATTCAAGCCTCAGCTTAACTCTCCGTGCAAGCTCTGGACGTTCCTTGCCTTGGCTAAGCTGTATGGCATCGCTCATCATCCACGGATCAAGATCCCGATCTTGACCTGGATTTACGAGGGGAGGAATTCTCTACTCATTGAGATCCACCCGGAAATCGCATACGGAATAGCTTGCTCTATTCGGTGTGATTATTTGTGCCAGGACTCATTTTCGATCTTGGTCGGAGAGGCATCTTTGCGACTGATGGCTGAACCGAATGCAACACTTACCCGTCCTTGTGATTCGCATGAGACTTTGTACGGCCGGGTTCGGGAGGTTCTGGATGACGCGGACCAGCAGCGACTGGAGTATGCCAGCCAAAGCTTCAAGGATCATGTCATTGACACATTTCTTGAGCTCGTTGGCAGCGAGATGCAATGGCTAGAGAGATTGCCTGCGGTCCACAAAGTGCTCTTACACGAAGCAGGCGGCCCTCCTTGTCCTCTTGCATCTAAGCTCATCAGATGTCTCAAGAACTATGTGCGATACCATATCATTGATGCATTGAATACCGACCTGGTAACTTGGAAGGAGATCTCAGTGCTTCATGAGCCCGATGATGATTACCCGGGAGAGCGGTTTCTGAAAGCTTATACCAAGATGCATTATACCGAGCGCATTATGAGTCGGACCTTCTGGAAGAACCTCGGGTCAAAAAATCGGAGCGATCTCACCTCATCAGCTTTCGTAGCTCTGCGCTCAGCTCAGTCCATCGCAAGTCAATCGGTCGCCGATCTGGGCCGTCATTTACAGTCATTTCGAGCGCAAGAAAATACCAAGATCGGATTTATTGACACGGATGACATGATTGAAGAGGTCAACCGTTACAACGCCCACTTTGGCTCAGATCATCCCATTTATGGCGCGAATCTCACTATTGTACGCCACACTGAAGAGCTGGAGTCAGCATGGAACAACACCCTGGGGCGTCTCTCGAGCGAAGCACCCTCCGGTCCAATCTGCCATCTCGGAGGTCTCGACCCGGAATGGCACTTCAATTTCAATCCTCAAGATTTTTTCAACCAACTTTCTTCGTATCTGCACACAGTGTCAGACAGGATGCGCGGTCCCTATCGATCCGAGATGGATCAGCTACTTACCGACTGTGTCAGCTGCCTGACTGCAAACCAAATGAAGTACCTTCCTTTGTGGGCGGGAGGTAACGACGATGGCTCTGGAGGTGTCTTCGCCGACCTCGACATTCCAAATGCCGAGCATGCAGGGTTCGCGACGCCGGGACCGGGGATACATATGGGAAGCTCGGTTGCTTCGAAGCCGCTCTCAGACTATTCTTCCACCGTGTATGAGAGTACGGTGCAAGCTGCGTCGCACGGGGCGACAGGCGGATTTGGTACGGATGTCATGTCGTTCAGCATGGCAAGCGAAAGAAGCGGTATTGAACAATCTATTGCAGATTTTGAAGACTTGTCACTTGAAGATGCGATCCAGCCACTATAGGCTTATACACTGTGACGAAAGAAAGTTTATGTGAGATATTACAGAGAAAAAATCTAGCTAGAGTCTAAAGCAAGATTATCTTTTCAGCGAATGTTTCGTGTAGAGAGTCAATGCCTGGGAATGCAGCCGCGTAGCACGTGATGGAATCCGGGGTTTGGGGGCGGCGACGTCACGGACCGATGATCTTATCTCGCAATCGATGCCTCCAGGCACCGGACAGAGACAACAACTGCAACCTCTTCGCCTGCCCTGCCAGCTGGTGACAACCTTTTGCAGCATCGACATAAAATTGGCAGGAACTTAACCATCTCGGCATCATGGCCGCCGCTTCATCCTCGAAGCCCTCGAGCTTCCTGCTCTAGTACGTCTTTACCAACCCACAAACCTCAACACACAAAAAAACAACCCAGCTGCTAGCCAGCCAGCTTCAGTTCCCCTTCCCAACTCAATTCCACTGCTAAGCCCACAACTAACCAATTCCCCTTCCTTGAAATCCAGCTCCTGCATCGCCCACCGCACCACCATCTTAGCCGAACATTCTTCCCCCGGCACCTCCTCATCAGCCGCCTCCTCCCTCGCCTCCATCATCCTCCCCAAAATCTCCCACGACCAACCCCAGAAGCTCACGTACACCCACGAGCGCCTATTCGTGCACTACATCGCCGACTCTCCCAGCAGCGGCAGCAACAATAACTATGACTCCTCCTCATCCACGGAGCCCAACTCCTACGCCCCGCTCAGCTACATCGTCGTCGCGACCGCCGAGCAAGGCCGCCGCATCCCCTTCGCCTTCCTCCTGGAGATCAAGCGCAAGTTCCTGGCGGCCTACCCGCCGTCCAGCACCGACTTCGCCACGCTGCCGGCCTACGGCTGCGCCGCGTTCAACCCGGACCTTCGCGCGCTGCTGCAGACGTACAACACGGCGCCGCCGTCGGACTCGCTCGCCTCGGCGCGGCGTGAGATCGACAGCGTGCGAGACATCATGACGGAGAACATCGAGCGCGTGCTGGAGCGCGGCGAGCGCATCGATCTGCTTGTCGACAAGACGGATCGGCTCGGCGGGAGCGCGCATGATTTCCGGATGCGGAGCCGCGGGCTGCGCCGCCGTATGTGGTGGAAGAATGTCAAGCTGGTCGTGCTGTTGATTGTGGTTATTGTGTTCCTGGTGTATCTATTTGTCGGGATGGGGTGTGGGCTGCCTGCTTGGGGGAAGTGCGTGGGTTGAATTTCGGGCAGTGAGTGGAAAATGGGTGATTGGGTCAGTGGGTTTGTGAGATTACGTTCCCTTTTGTGATGTTTGAGATTGAGCCTTGTGTTTGTTGCGTGTTGTTAGTTGCATTTGTTTTGACTTGCGGTTTTCTTGCGCTGGTTATTGATTGATGGACTCATGATTGTCAACGGGTGATGGTATTTAGTTGAGGTTGGTGGGCTGGGCGAAGAGATGGATGGAAGCTCAATTTTTAATTCTGTATAATATCATGATAACGTACTCTCGTTTACTTCTATATGACTATTAGTTCCTGGGCGTAGATCAAGCCTTTAGAGTATACGAAGGCGGCGATGAAATAAAGACTGACAGATTTAGCTTGAGACCAATGATATAACAACATATTGCCGGAAATGGTAAATCCAATACACCTCCAGGCTTGGAAATGTCTCGAACCAGCTCAAGAGATAGGTGGCAGAACTCATGAGTATACATCGCATAACCCAACTGCATCATCCATCCAATCCACACCTTGCGTAGTTCACAGAGCGCCCTTGAGTGTACAACCAGAACTCAGACTAAGAAGGAAAAGAATTGAGTATCGCGATATGTTGTTCGATTGATCGGCTACCAAAGCAAGCTAACGGCTAGACTTTACAGTATGTGTCTCACTCTCAAACCCACAGCGTCGTTGCCACCGAAGTAACATCAGTGCGGGTCTGCAAGCGAGGCAAACGAACCCCCTGGATTAGATCCAGGTATAGGTTATTTGCTATTCCTTCTTCGCCAGTCGTATACCCCATCAAGCATTGTGAAGGGTTGATGGGGAGATAAACCTGGCGCAATTCCTGTAGGAAATTTGGGGGGGGGGAGTAATCAGGGGAGCGATCAGCTACGTTTGTCGGGGTAGTCGTAGCGCATTTCTTGAGGTCTCTTCCATCAGAATTCCTCGAGCAGGATGTTGCGGTCCTTTGCCGGTGAGCGAGCTTGCGCAGGCCATTGACCTTCGTCCAGAGTCGTAGCATCGCCCTCGCAGGTCCAAGCCCTGCTTCGACTGTTGTGATATGACTGTGCAAATCTAAGGTCGTCGAGTCCGGAGAATTGCATCCTGAATGCATGCGACTAATGGTATAGCGCTTGTCTGCAGATTGTCCCAATCATTTTAAGACGCTTCAGCAGATCTCCGCGGCGCTGACTCAGGAACATGATTGTGATGCAGATTCCCGGGGAATGTTGACAACTTGGAAGAACTCGCATTTTGTGAGTTGAATAGAAGTCAAGGTCGACTTCCGCGGACCTTTTCAATAGTTAGTGTGCGTCACATGACTCGCGCTGCGCTTAGCCTTACTAGAAGCCCCCTCATTCGTCAGCTTACAGCTAGTCCTAGAAAGTACCAACCAAGACTCACCGCCTGCCTATCTGATTAGCGGTCCGGGTCGATGATCCTCCGGCTATTGTTCTATTGCATTTCGCGATGCGCTATCCGTAGTCGCGTCAAGCTTCGATTCTCGTTTTTCTAGAGTGTTGCAGATTCAATTCATGAAATACTGATATGCTACTAACATCCACTCACTCTCTTTTTTCTGCACACGTCCATGCCATTCGATCTCATGTCATGCTCCAGACGGGAATCTATTCGCGCCTGAAACCCTGATAACGCGGCCTGGCACCAACACCGGCCAAGAAAAATGTCAAACAACGATGACATTCAGTGGCTGGAGAGCTACTTGCGCTATGGCTACGACCCCGAGGTCCAGAGGTTTGAAGACAACAATATGGCATACTTCCAGGCAAATCCGTACTTTGCCTTGCCCCCGCCGTCTCAAATGTCCCTCCCGTGGCCAGGAACGAGTCACGCTCGATTTCAACCACCTTACCCTCAAGGTCGTCCGAGAGCGGAGAGAACCAATGTGAGGCCTACCGGTGTTACCTCTTCCTCAGCGCCCGCTCCTTCCCCAACACAATCTCGCCCACCCCATGCTCCACCTCGTTATGCGCCTCCATCGTCCGGCGCGCCTTCCCCCGTGTCCCAGACGCAAGGCTCGCAGGTTCATTATGCGCCTGTCAGGGGACCGGAGTCGTATCAGAATCTAGCGCAGCAAGCTCTCCATCACTCGCAGCGGGCACCATCCCCACAGCCTCAACAGCCAACCCAATCCTACTCACCTACCACGACAGCAGCACCTATAGCACCTGCAGCACCTGCAGCACCTGCTCCGCCGCCCACGAAGACAGCTCCGCCTCGGCCTCGAAACACAGGGTCTCCTCAATTGCTTAACCCCACACAATCCCAACTACCCACCAGCGCGGCCCCTCGCGCACCTCAGGCTGGCCCTCTAAGAGCCTGGACAACGATGCCTGATGGGAACAGAACATCCTCAGCCTCTCCGCCCGGGCACGCTCTTCTGCCGACCTCGAAGACGGTCCCTCCTGAGGCGCAGAAGTCTGTTTACCATCCAACGCCTCAGCCGATGCCGTCACCTTCGGCTTACTCCGCGCCTCCGCAAAATCTGCCAGTAGCTCAGGCTACCGGCGGACCCAACCAAGCTCCTACCGTTGGGCCTCACACGGCTCCTTTACGGGGCAGGCCACAAAACCCTCCAGTAAATCAGAATGCAGGCGGGCCCAATCAAAACTCTTCCGCCGCACCTTACGGAGTATCACCGCAGAGTCTGGTACGGAATCCAGCAACGGGTCATAATACGGGCGGACCTTACCAAAGTTCATCCGCTGGGCCTTATGAGACACCATCGCACAATATGCCCCAGATGCCACAACCTGGAGGTCAACCGGGTTCTGCCCCGGCTCCTGCCCCGGCGCCCGGCCCAGCACCCGGCTCAGCACCCGGCACAGCTCCAGGCCCAGCGCCTTCCCAAGTGATTCCTCAAAAGCAAAAGTTCAATGCGTCCACGGGTCAGGAGTCTGGAAATCCTGCTAAGAAACGGCGCGTCGGACCATCAAAGACATCAAAGCCACCGGCGTCATTTGCGTCCTTGGGTGCCGCCCATCCCTCAATCCCCGCAGGTGGGCTGTCTGTCTACAGTTACTCTCCCGCAACTACCGCGGGGCACAAAGTGAAGGATCATTTGAAACACCGCGCCGACATTGTGAAGCCTATAAATGAAGCGGATGCTGCTCGGAAGCTGGCTTATGACCCTAAGACTATTGCTAGAGATGTTCTAATTGCATCCGGTCGTCATCCAACTGAAGACGCTCTGAACCATCACCTTTTCCGTCTACGGGATGTGTTCACACATGTGGACAACGGGTCAGATCTGGCGACATTTCGATGGGATCTGGTAGATTCGCAAGAGGCACGTGACCAGGAACGGATGGGCGCACCCCTTCCGCCGTCCAACCGACTTTCCACGCCCAACCAACTTTCCGCCCCGCGTCCCGCGCCGCGACCGCCGCACCCGATTCCTGCTCCGCCTCATCTGAACTTCCCATCAGCTCCAGTCCCGCCAGCATCTGCGCAACTTCAGCAGGCATTGCCTCCGCATCCAAAACCGCAAGTGCAGCCATCGCAACCTCCTCCTAACTCTCAAATCTCCTTCCAGTCTCCTAGTCCGCAGGTCCAGCTTCCTCCCAGAACCGGTGTTCCCCCCTTGCACTCCCCATACACACCACTACCACCAGCGCCGCAGCCGCAGCCGCAGTCACAATCCACACCCAGGACACCGGCGAGTGCGATGGTGGGCAAGCGGGGACCTGGTCGTCCGCCTGGGAGCAGCAATAAGCCCAAGCAGCAGCCGGTTACGACGACGAGCGCACAACCGGTGCAGTACCAGGTTTTCGGCTGTCAGTGGACGGACTGTCGTGCTGAGCTCCATAATCTGGAGGGGCTCAAGAAACACATTTTCAAGATTCATGTCTCTCAGCAGCTGACTTGTGGTTGGAAGGGATGCACACACTCAGAGCCCATGCCTGCGGCGCTGCTCTTCAAGCACGTGAAGAAGGACCATCTGGACTCTATCGCGTGGAGGCTGGGTGATGGACCATCTGTGCCAAGACCTGGTGAGAAAGCATCTGGATGATCGCATTTCCACTTTACGCGTGACTTCTAGCATTTTGAAGGGCAATTGTTAATTGATTGACTTCTGCTCCCACTATCCAATAGGTGAAACCACTAGCGAAACAGGACTGTCTACGATTCCTCAGAACGGTCGACCTGGCATGGATGACATGCTTATCTTCCCGGCGAGTGGTTCGTCGATCCGAGCCTACCATAAAGTTCATGGCAAAACTACCCAGCAGCAAAAAGCGCAGGAAATCCTCAAGGCTGTGCAGCGACTGAAAGAACAGATCGGCGTGGGCTTGGACCCGGGGGGCTGCGAATTGACCAACTTTGTGCGGAATGAGCGACAGAGCACTGAGGAGGATGTTTATGAAGTGGTTATCTAAGCCCGAGGTATCTCCATATTACGGAAACCGGCATTCTGCATTAGACGGTGTGATTCGTCTCTTTCTCAACATTTCTAGATTCATTCATTCGGGAGCATCGGTCTAGGCCTAGGTGTTCCGGTTGCTTTTGGGGAGTGTGCCCTTTGACTCCTACCCAGCTTTGGTTCGTCCCCAATCCGTCACTTACCCCAGAAAACCACAACTTTGAACATTAACATCGTGGGGAAGCTGGGGACATTTGCAAGGTGATATACGCCCATGCAATGCACACATACGAAGATACAAGCGAAGTATTTCATAGAAAGTAAACGATGCATTGGATGGGAGCCCAAAAGACCACCGCCCGGGTATTCTAAACAAACAAGCCCATTGCCTTTTGGTCTTTTCCACCCCGTAGTCATTCGCTTGAACTAGACTCGAGACACAGAACACAGGAATAAACACGACAGAAAGAAACAAGAAAATAGCAGTCAAAACGTTCAGGTTGTGGGTATACATCCCCCCTAGCCAGACCTTTCTTCCCCTTTCACACTCTACGACGACGATCCCACGGCCGCAGCAGCCGCAGCCGTCTCCTGTGAGACCCCGGGCACCTTCTGATCAGCGGAAGCGTCGAGTTCGGCGCCGTCGTCCTTGGCATTGACTTCGAGGAAGTGGTAGAGGACAATCATCATCATGGCGCAGCTGCCGAGGAAGACGGCCAGGCGGTGGAGCTCATCGTCGGTGATCATTGTGATGGTTGTGTTTTTTTGCGGGTGAGGTTTGTAGGTATCAAGGTATTAGGTTCAATTGAGGTTGTTTTGTGGGTGTTTTGTGGTGATGCACAGCAGGAAGAGGTGCCGAGCTGTAGGAGGGAAGTAGATAGCGGAGATGGGAAGTTCACTGTCCGGAGAACGGGGGGAAGCCACGTTAGCCTTAATCATGGGATCCAGCGCAGTGGGTAGGAAGGAAGGTTGAATTGAGACGACATGCCGGCTGCTGGGTTGGAATTGAATGCAAGAAACATACCTAATCTCCGAAGAAAGATTTGTTGGTTCAATGGAGAACAACAGACTGTTTGACGGGTTCGGAGGAGGACACTTTGCGCTCTGTTGGGGAAAGTCGTCGTAATTCGTAACTAACTCCTGCCTTTCTTTATCAGTCAGCACTGCCTATCTTGATGCCTCATCGCTCAGGCAGCAGCAGCTTTGACGGACCTCGACTAGACTCGATTCCACTTCCCGAACAGGGCAGGGCGACTGGTGATTGGAAGCTGCGACTGTTACTGGACTTAGTCTAGCTTATGCCTAAGAATACAGGCAGCGGCCGCAACGGCCCGGCCGTTAATAATTATTATTTAGCATTTACAATCGTATCATCTCAGCTCTCACTTCTTCTCCCCCCCCCCCACCTCCTACTCCGTACTGTGCGTCTCTCTTCTTGTTGGATGGACCACAGGTAAGAGTGAAATTCCGTCTGGATACCACTTCTGCAGCTATCCCCATTCTTCAAATCTGCTGTATGTATGCGAATGATCTCTTTTCTTCGATTGCCCTCTTTCCCCTCTGTCCCGAGTCCCCTCTTCCCCCTCCCGTGTCTGTCCCTCATAATCTCTTTCCCCCCCCAAGAATTCCAGACAGCGGCTCTCCCCGCTCTATCCAGATCTCGGCTTTGCTTCAACGCTCTGGCTTTGCGCTTCCCAAGACAGCTCCTACCCATTATCCATGCAGTCTGATGTGTTTATTGATTGTTAGGTAGCTTGGAGGGGGCAGCAGCTGGATCGCAAAATAGTGATGTCCCCGTGTTAATCAATCTATGACAGCCTGCCACCATGGACCAGGGAATCAACCCATTTGTGACGGCCAGACCTCCCAACCCACCCAAGAACGCCGGGCCTTCACTCCTCGCCTGCTTGCTATGCCGACACAAGCATCTCAAGTGTGATGGCAACACACCCGTCTGTGGCCGCTGTGCAGCCACGGGCGCCGAATGCCAATACACCCCGTCGCGTCGCGGCTACAAAGGCCCGTCAAAGAAACGCCGAGCCAACCCGTCCTCCCCCGATCAAGTCCCTACCGACCTGTCGGCTTCGTTTGAGGCCCAGCCATTCTACAATGTCCCCTCCGAATGGGTTCTTCCCGGGAACATGCCTCTCATGCCAGTGACGACGCCGCTCCCCAGCACCAGCACGTTGCCGCCTTCCCTTCCGACCACCAGCCCCGAATTGACGACCGATGGCTCCGTCTCGTCGCAGCCTCTTCGCGCGGCTCACAGCCCCCTCACCCCGGACTCGTATTCTTCTAACCCTGGCGACAATTACCTCATTGATATTTACTATACCTACTTTCATCCCTCCCACCCCATCCTGCTCCCATTCCGGATTCTGTATCGGTCTCATGTCCCACCTTTCCTGGAGTATGTGATCAAATTCATTGGCACTCACTTCACCCCCTCAGCATCCAGTGACACGTACAGGCCGACCGTCATGTCGTCTGTCATGGAACAGGATCCTTCGGTGGAAAAGGTTCAGGCCCTGTTGCTGCTGGCCATTGTGCTTCATTCGCGGAACGAGCGCGCTGATGCCGGAGTGTGCATCGCAATGGCTGTGGACCTGGCTTTTGAGCTGGGGCTGCACACCCGACACTTCGCCCAGACCATGGGAGAGGGGGATCCGGTGCGGGAGGAGAGTCTGAGACGAACCTGGTGGGAGTTGTTCATCATTGAAGCCATGCTTACGGCCCTCGGTGTTCAGCCGCAATACCGTTGCAACACCGTGCCTTTGGAAGTGCCACTGCCGTGCGAGGAGAGGATTTATCAGGACGGACTAGCTCCCCCGCCCCCATTGACGATCGCACAATTCGATGAGCGGGCGTTCGCTGATGAAGAACGGGATTTCTCATCCTATACCTACCGCATCGAAGCGGCTCGGATCTTAGGGCGGGTGGTGGCCATTCAAGATATGGTCGAAGGCCAGCAGGATCAGGTTGAAGCTACCGACGCCCGGATCACTAGCTGGTTTCATCATTTGCCCGAGTCGAAGGCTGAGCTTCTGCGTCCTGATGGCTCAGTGGATGAGATGATGTTCCAGGCAACTATGGTCGTCAACGGGTCGTCTATCTACCTGCACTTCCCGCGCTCGGATCTGCTGTCGTCTCCCGCTGTGGCCGCGGAGGTGATCTGCGGTCATCATGGGCCGCTGAGCATCCCGGCCTTCTCGCACCATGCCCATGCCATGAAGGCCGTCAAAGCCGCCAGCGAAATCTCGACGTTGGCGTCAATCCGGATGCCCGTCGTCAAGCACACCCCGTTCTTCATCTGCACGTTGGTATTGAGCTCCATGGTGCAGCTTGCCGCCTGCTCTGTGAAAGCCGGCCAGATGCCCGACCCCAGTCGGGACCGGCTTACATTGACAATCGGCGTGTTCAAGACGCTGGCCCGCACGTGGGCCATCTCCCAGAGCATCATGCGGCAGATCAAGGCGGTTGCGCGCGACGTGATGGACCTTGGGCTCCGACCCAATATGGACCAGGTCGATCTCAACAGTGTCTTGGATAATGGCCGCTTTTGGATGCCCGACATGCTGCCTCGCTGAAGAATCTGAATCCGGCGCATCACCCGTGTGGTGCTCCTCAATTTTGGGAGACATCATGCCTATTGTTTTCTCATCAAAGAATATATCAGCACCAGCCCTTCCAGCGCCTTCTCCCTAAAATTCCCCGTTGATATTCTTGACCATTGCAACGATGATACCCCTTCCCCTGACTGCCCCAGAATGTATGAAACCGGGCCCGACCTCCTGAAGACTGATGATTTGTTATGGTGTATTTACATGCCAGGATATGCCGAGATGATGGATGATGACGATGCGACTCTGTCGAGCTACCTCGACACCGAGAATTTCTTGCGAGTTTCCCTACATCCGGGGCTGGTGTAATGACTTTGGACGCTTCGGATTTTTGCCTGCCAACCAGCAGAGCTACACATATTTTCCTTTTGGATTGTTGTGTTGTGAATCTCGTATTCTGGTTCTACGGGACCTGTCTAAAATGCACATTCTTTTTGCACATTTCCTAATGGATCCTTGAAATTTCCTGTCCTTTGGATTATATTGGGTACCACATAGCATTTGAAGAGGGATGATGCTGATAACTAACTTCTGGTATATTAGTAAGCCACAAGTCCGGGGAAATTCCGTCGCACTATGTTCTTTTAGCCTTCTGTCGATCTCCACTGCGGGCACGCGTTCCCGTCACTGTCTGCGTATCCACTATCCACAAAGTTCCATTCCATGTTTTCAGTTAGTCTTCCTCAACATCTACACTTGTATTTACGCTCGGTCCTTTCTTATGTTCTCCTCAGTATAACTACACGGCAAATCGATTGTGCTACTCTTCCAAGCCCACTCGTGACAGCTCGATCACCACCCAAGCCAATCCAATCACAATCACTTGCAGCAGAGCATCCCATCCCCAAAATGGGGAACCTCACGGTGTCCGAACTCCACAAAGCCCTCCCGAGGGGCAACTACTTGGACTGGCTCGTGGTGGATGATGTACTCCACCACATCCTCGTTGACGCAAAACACCTCACAAAACCGATCAGGCACCTCCGCGTCCGTATGCAACTCGAAGACCACCTCATTGACCGCCTCCCACAACCTCCGCTCTTTATCCACTCGGCCTACGACGCCAACAAAGTCAACTGCATGCTCTACCTCTTCCGGTACATGATGAAACTGAAAGGCGATCTCCAGACGCGCTGCCGCAAGCGCCGCCTGGTCCTGCCCGCCAACGCCGCCGCGGGGGGAGCTCGGCACCTTCACTAAGCTGCTCGCGAACGTGATCAGCAGACATTTTGTGGAGATCAACGTGCGGCGCCCCGGGAAGCCGGAAACCCGCCACCAGTCCAATTGGCGGTATTATTATACGGACGATGGGGAAGGGGGAAAGGTGGTTTGCCGGCTGCCGCAGGGCATGTACGGTGCGTTCGTGGATGAGATCAGAGACAAGAGGGTCTATTATCGTCGGGACAAAGATGTGCTTCAGCCGCTGTGGCCGGAGGCGGAGAGCATGAATGTGGCGGTTCGGGGGTTGAGGGAGAAGGTCGGCAATGTGGTGGAGGGGGAGGAGGCGTGGTTGCGGGCCTTGTTTGCGTTGATGCATCCGGGTACTGGGCCGGTATGGTTCGTTGTTGCTGGTGAGTTGGCCGGTCGCCGGTCGAGTGGTTTGTGGTTGGTAGCTGACGTTGCTCTAGCTCGGGGTAAGAACCCTGATGGTGTTGATGGTGTTATCTACCCTGGACACGGGAAATCCGGCTCTGAACGGCAGTGTATGCATGGGACTTCTCTTGGAGGATGAAGCATCTCGTGACCAAGAGTCTTCTCCTGGAACTCCATCAAGATCTCCCGAACTCGATCGACATTTTGAAGATGATTTACACTCGGAACCCGAAATCCCACCAACACCGGTGCCAACGCGCGGAACCCGAGACCTACACGCCCGCGAACCGCATCCCTCCACTAACAAACCAACTCATGGCCGCATATTCATCCCACCATGGACGATACCTCAGATCCCACCACCACCGCAACCACAGCCGACAATAACCCCTGCCCTGGGCGACCGCGACCCGCCGCCCGCCAAACCGTCTAGCTCTCGTTCCACCTGAACACTCCCCCGCAGCCGGACTGCGCGGAGACGGATCGGAGAGCGAGGAGGCATCTTACTATATCTTCTCTTCTGAACTGACCTCGTAGTGAACCTTGAGATACCCTGTCTAGCGTTCCCCCTTGCTCTGCTGTGTACGTACGAACAGCGAAAGCTGCGGGTTTGATGAACTCCTGAAGTATTTCTAATCAGGCCAGCAGTCAAGCCCAGTGGCTCCTTGGTTTCCCAAGGAATAACTAACGGTAATGATGACTAACGCTCTTTGACCTGCAAGCCCTTATACATTGGAAGGAAGTACCGGAGCCCTCTCGGTAATAGCTATGCTTTTGACACGGGAGGAGGTTAGGGTGTATAGTCCATGCTGTGCCAACTCCCTATGTTCAGGCCTCTACGCCAGCAAGTAAGTAGATATCTTCTTCCCACACCTCAAACCCCCGAATATCAGCAGAAGAAAGTATCTTTCACTGATGGAAGAATAATTCGATGTATAGTGTAACTGCTGTACTGTACTGTATTGTACAAACCCATTCACCCACCACAGCCCCCTCTCCTCCCCTCCCCACCTCTTCCCCTCAGGGCTTTGAGAGGCAACCACTCCTACTCCTCCTCCTCCTCCTCCTCCCCACCACACCATCACCATCATCAAAAAAGACCGCAACGAATTTTAACGAGCGAAACCATGAACTATCACGAAAATCCTCAAGCAAGCCCTCAAAGCAAGGCAAAGGAATGGGGTATTCGTATTCGTATTCTTCAATTCAATTCAAATCAAGTCAAAGCAAGTCAAATCAAATCACCGGGCCATGCATCTGCTGAATAACATGCAAGTCAAAAGAAAAGAGTGGTATAAGTTCTCAGGCAGGAGGGTCTATAGTTAAAGCAAAGCAAAGCAAAGCAAAGCAAAGCATCGGTCGTATCAACTTCGTGAAAATCAGTAACTCAAGGTTGTCTTTTAACATGATATGCGAGCGATGCGACCAAAAAAAAAAAAGAAAAAAAGAAAACAGAGACAGGGCCAATCTATGGAGCGATGCAAAGTAGAGGGCATGGGTTCGTAAGGAAAGACGTATATCTAATGGTGGTATCGAGCAGTGCAAAGGAAAGGAAGTAGGCAGGTTGAGACAGAAACAAAACGTGTAGTGCAGACGACATGAGATGGGCGGGGCAGAGTGCTCTGGTTTTTTCGTGGCTGGCTTGGGGCACTTGATGCAAACGCAATTCGAACTAAGATGGAGTGTTACAGAAGGTGCGGTGAGGCGAATGGCTATGCTTCGGCAGAACCACCCTCTTCGGCAACAGAAGATGGCCGACCCGCGGGGAATTCCTGCATCTCGCGGAGGGCATCGGCTCGCCGGGCTACCACTTCCTCTCGGCGGACGACGTTGCGCAGCGCGTCGCTGGCTTGGATGAGGCCGTCGATGCTGATGGCGTGGTTGGTCATCTGGTGGTTGATGTACGTGTAGAGCTCTGCGGGCGTGGAACAGGTCGTGAGGAGTTGCTGTTCGTTCAGTTTCAGCAACGCGAGAGCAACTTGAAACAGGAAAGTGCTACCGCCGCCACTGCCGCTGCTCGAGGAGACGTTGTTCGTGGTGGTCGAGTTGGCGTCATTGCTGTCGCGGGATGACGACGCATTCGTGGGTGTGAATGAGCTGGTCACGTTGAGGCAGAGGACAACATCCCACACCCGGTAGAGTGCCTCTGCGGAGAGACAGTCAGTGAAGACGGAAAGGAACCATTGGAACGTTAGAGCCTCCAGCTCGACATTCAGGCCTTCAAGGTGCGCAGATAGCTTGGGCAGGACCTCCGAAATGTAACGCCGCAGAACTACTTGATCCGCGCGGGACGCTAGCAGGCCATGATCGTAGTAATGCTCCGGCAGGATGACCTCGATCATGGACGCAAGAAGCCAGAAGGTGTCCTCAGCCGTGGGTGTGACAAGCAGCAGAGAGGCGGCAATCAGGTTCATTCCTTGACAGTATCCGACCTCTGGGTTGCGGCGTGAATACGCGAGGAGGACCTCCTTGAGCTTCTCCACCCCTGGGCCTTTGCGGAAGAAGACATTATCCGTCAGAGTGCGGTTGATATCCATCTCGATCTGCGACACGACCGAAGGGTCGGGATCACTCCCACCAACGCCCCGGACGAGGTCATCATAGTACCCGGGCACCCGCATCGAAGACGCACCGCTGCATTCAGACCAGATCTTGGCGCGAAGAGCGACGGGAATCCCACCCAGCACGAGGGCCCGGAACTCCCGCCATTTAGCACGACCGACCTTGCCTTTGTTGCCCAGACCAGATATACCCACCATTTCGCCATCCGCTAGGGACGCCTCGGGCGTATCGACAGACTGCAAAGGGCGGTCCGAGGCCGCAGCTGCGGCCGCAGCGGCTTCCCCATCCTTGCGGCGTTCGGCACGCACTTTGCGCAGGAACTCGTTCCACCTCACCGTTCTTTCTCGCTGCAGAGAATCATGCAGCTCGGTCAACTGCTCTAGCAGTAACTTGACCGGCTCATTCTCGTGGGCAGCCAGCGCGGCAGTCTCGTCGGAGGACAGCCCGGCGAACTCTGGGCGATCGGCAATCACCGTTGAGGTAGATGCAGATGGCTGGGCGTTGGGGGTGACGGAGACGGAGCCACGTTTGTCGACAGCTACTGCGCTGCTGCGCGGCTGAGTATCGCCCGCAGTAGTCAAAGAGATGATGGGACCAGCGGAGGGGGTGTGCGAAAGCAGTTCAGTCGGTGCCGTCGGAACCACCAGATAGTCCTGCCATCGCCCAACCGCAATAGCACCAGCTTCGGCGTTTCTGGGGGATACAGATGCTGGAGATGATTCGCTACCAGTGGTAGCCTGCAGTAGATTCCGATAGTCGGAGCCATCATCGCCGTCTGAGGTATCGCTGCGGAGGCTGTCTAGAGTTTCCGCGATGCTAAGCCGGTTACCTGCCGGCCCACCCCTTTCCAGATCGCTGGCTTCCCTCTGCCGCCTCTTCCGGCTTTGATCGTAGATGAACCCGAACCGGTCCGTCAGCAAATCACCCGACTGGTAATTGTTGTAAATGTTAGCAAGCGTCGGGGGTCGATCCTCCAGCGGCAAAATCGCATCCATCTCCACGGGGCCCAGATTGGTGGCATTTTTGCTTGCAGCCTCGGAGCTTGCACCTTGTGAAACGCTCGCCGACCCTTGTCTCCGACCGGCCTGGCTGGCTTTCGCCAAGGCACCCGATCCAGGGGATCGTCCTGGAGCACCTTGGATGTTGACGTTGCTGTTGATCCGCTTCAGCGCCGCCACCGCTGAAATGGCCGGCGACACAGGCTTGCTCGCTTCGCGGTTAGCTGACATGGCTCTTCCGCGGGAATTTTCCGCATTCGCATCGTCCTTGCTCGGTTGGGTGTTTCCGGCGAACAGCTTGACCGTCCATGAGGACAGCGACTTCGAGGATTTGCGCGAATGAACACTGGCGTCATCGCCGTTGGCTGCCGCGAGGCGCCGTCCAACCACCTCACCGGCCCCCAGACCACTTTGTTGTTGGTCGTCAGGGGGTTGGAACAATTGATCATCGAGCGCTTTGCGGCGCCCCGCCGACGGATTGCTCGCGTTTCGAGGCCGCTGCGTTTCCTCCTCGGCTCCGCTCATGACACTGCTAGCGCAACTCGTTTTCCGACTTCCCAGCGTCCCGCCGAAGATGAAATCGCCCCAGCTCCGGATCGAGCTCTGTCTCTTGCGGTTCGAGTTGGAGTCGAGGCTCGAGTGGCCCGAGCGCGCGTCACTCTCGAGCGACCGCTGCGGCGCGCGCACCGTCGCCTGCTGCGCCGGATTCCCCCCATTCTCCGCCCCACCGAGATCCTCCGCTCCGTGCAACAACCCCACCCCGTCGTCCATCGCCTGCTGCATCAGCCCATGCACGCTCGACGACGAGCTCCCGGACTGCTCCGCACTCGCGCTTCTGTTCTCCTTGCCCCTCGCCCCCTCGGGGTTCAAGGGGATGTGTTCCAGCAAATACAGCCGCCGCTCGATATCCTGGTTCGAGACCGAGACCTCGCGGAGCATGCGCTTCAACTCGCGCTCCCGGGCGTCCGCCCGCTGGCGGAGTGCCGAGATCTCCGCATCCCGCTGCGCCAGGTCCCGCGCGAACTGCCGCACCAGCTTGACCGCGCCCGTGGTGGCGATCAGCCGTTCGATATGCGCATCGTCCGCCAGGTGGAGGGCCCCGGGGAAGTCCCGGATGGGCACCGAGTCGCCGAAGAGGGCGGCGCGCCCTGATGCGCTGGCGGTGGTCGAGGAGCTCGTCAATTTGGCCAGGGCGGCTCGCCGATCCCGCGTGGTGGTGGTGGTGGTAGTGGTGTTGTTATTGTTCTCCCCCGCCGTGTGTAGGAAGTCGTTGATGCTATAGAGATCCCGGTCCTCCAGCAGTGCGTTGGTCAGGGCGCGGTTGAGGGCCGGCTGGCCGAGGAACCCGTCCACGGAGCGGTCTGGCGGAGAAAGGGATGGGAAGGAGGTGAGGTCCGTGGTGGTCGCGTTGGAGGAGGCGGCGGAATGACGCTTCTGGGAGCGGGCTCGGACGGTCCTAGCCTTCTGGCTGTGTCGGGAAGAGGAGGAGGTCCGCGAGGACGAACGACGCGGTACTGGAGCTGGTGGTGTTGGTGCCGTGGGTAGATCGCACTCCGCCATAGCTGTTAGGGCGGTGAACACGAGAGGAGGGTTGCAGATCTGTGGTCTTCATGTAGACTTTTGATGTTACGCCTTCTGTGCTATTCCTAGTTCAATTCGAACAGATCATGAACAGATTCATGAAATAGATTCAGACCGGGGAAGTGGTGTGGCTGGTTTTAAAGTGGTGTTTGGAGACGGTGGTCAGGTCTCGTGCAACTGTAGCAGCTGTGCAGTGGTGCTGCCTCGCGGGATTTTTCATTTGTAGGAGATTGAATGATGTCGTAACCGGAACAAGTGCTGGAAGATTTGCACACCAGCGCAGACCGCCTCAGATAATGGAAGAGGGA